AAGGGGTCTATAAGGGGTCATATTTGAAGTTTCATGGGTAGTTAAAAGTAGGGCTATAAGTAGGGTAACCATAATTATAACCTATATTGGGAGACTTATAACTCCACTTGTAACTACCCATGAACCTCCAAATAGGGGTGTAGTGGTTTAAAGTTTGTGTGTTCCGGGTTTAGGGGTTTAGGGTCTAGGCTCTGTGGTTTAATTAGGATCTGGCTTTTTCCTGACCGGGAGGAACTAACTAGGAGCTGCAATAACGGGTAGTTTGCGGCGTCTAGATGGGTTTACGGTAGGGTTCTTGGCAAAAGTTGTTGGGTTGCGGTTGGGGGTTTTCGACGGCTTATTCACTTCAGGTTTCCCTGGCCTGACACCCCAAAAAACCAGGTCCCAACTTGGTTTTTGTCTCATCACGGGCAGCAGAAACCCCTGAGCCCAAGTGCCCAGGACGATCCCACAACGAAGCCGTACCATGCCTCAAAGGTCAGAGCTGTTACTACTACTACTACTACTACTACTACTACTAGTAGTTAAGACTGGTCTCTTTTTGACAGAATTTCAGAGAAGTTGTGACAGTGCATGCAGTACACAATGCGTTCAAGTATTTTCAATTTCCAGTTTCAGCTCCTCATTAAGAACCCAGCACACACAACCGATGCATCCTTGTAGAAGGGATCTGAACCTGTCATCGTGAACTTATTCCCATCGCCCCCGGGGGCTGGAAGATAACCAGCGCACGGTAATAAACACACAGCCTTATAAACGGTCTAGAAATTGAAACCCTAACATGGTACTCGGAAAACCCAGACTCCAAGATCCCTTAATTAAGGATTATACCTTGAATCATATTAGGGATCCTACTATGTTTTACGGTATATTCCTTAACTAAGGGATATTGGAGTCTATGGGAAACTCAATTGCAAGCCTTCTCTTGAGCTGCTTCTGCCCAACCAGCCGCAGCATCACTCTCCGCCACCAGCGATGCGATCCTGTGAACCCCGAGGGCCCAAGTAATAGTATACAGTAGTGTATATTTTGGGGGCCATTGTTGTTGTCCGCACAATTACTACTAGTACTATTCGTGCTGCTAATATGATTAAACCCTAAACCCGAACTAGCTACTATATTGGTCCCTTTGGGGAGGGAACCTACGAAGCCTTGCCTTGCTCAACTGCGCTTGTATGTATTGGCCTTAGGGTTTAGGGTTTAGGGCTTAGGGTTTAGGGTCCAGGGTTTAGGGTTCAGGGTTTAGGGTTTAAGGGTTTGGGTTTAAGGATTAAGGGTTTAAGGATTGCTCTTCGTCTGGTTTACTGAGTGAGTGACTGAGGGACTGAGCGAGCGCGAGCGAGTGGGTGAGTGACCGATGGAGGGACGTGGCGTTGCGTGGAGTGGCGAGTCAGTGATGGAGGGAAGTGGAGCGTGGCTGACTGCGGTGTGCATGCAGGTAAGAACAGAAAGCAAGCAAGCACGCAAGCAAGCAAGCAAGCAAGCAAGCAAGCAAGCAAGCAAGCAAGCAAGCAAGCGAGCAAGCAAGCAAGCAAGCGAGCAAGCAAGCAAGAAAGCAAGCAAGCAAGCAAGCAAGCAAGCAGTAGAGCAAGCGAGAGAGCAAGCAAGAGAGCAAGCAAGAGAGCAAGCAAGAGAGCACGCAAGAGAGCAAGCAAGTGAGCAGGCAAGAAAGCAAGCAAGGAAACAAGGAAGCAAGCAAGTAAGTAAGCAAGCAAGCAAGCACGCAATAAAGTAAGCAAGCAAGCACGCAATAAAGTAAGCAGGCAAGTAAGTGAACATTTTAATTGAGTTCATGTAAATATCTAAGACTATTTGCAATTGCATGTATGCATAAGAGCTGTTATGCACGCGCATGTGTGTATATACGTACGTACGTATGTATAGTTAGGTTTTTCTCTCGCACATGGTATAGGTAGGTAGGTAGGTAGGT